GAGGAGGAGGGAGGGAGGGAGAGAGAGATAATTACGCGGCGAAGAATGTTGAAGTGTCCTTCACTTCAAAATTAAAATTTTAATTTCGATTATCATGATGTAACTTCGCCCGGAACTCCCAGTCAATTTGCATCCCTACCAGCGCTTACCATCTTATTTTTCTTTCAAGCGCATACATTATATAGATCGACGTGCGCTCTTTCAACATTATAATAATTTACTTTTGTCGGAACTTCTTCATTGCAGAATTTTAAAAACTGGCAACTTTTATGTGAAACGACCAACTGTAAAATTTGTAATTTCAAACTACATCCAATTTAAGTCACCAGTTTAATCATACCCGTAGGTCGCCATTACTCCTACTCATGTCGTTAATTTAACTAAAACGATGGCGTTGAACAATTTAACTCATGTATTAAATGTATTAAATTTCACTCAAATTTAGTTTATGATTTACTAGAGATATAGACTCAAATTTAGTCCAGTATTTACCTGTTAGTAAATGCTACGTTTACATGGACGTTGTTTGGTTTGATACTTAAGTAATTCAACTGCAGAAATGGATTAAATATGGTTGATTTTCTAAACACATATTTCGTATTAAAATAATACATTTTGATATAATGAAAGTTAAAAATAACAAAATGTTGTTTAACTCAAAAAATTGATTTAACCCTAATTAGTATTTGCTCCGAAATTTCCTTAATCGCATGGTATTCGCAGGTTTAATGTATACCCGATAAAACTTCTTTAAATTTATCTTTGTTTAAAGTTAACGTAATTAAACTTTCTTTTCTCATTTTGAAGGTCCAAATTTGAGGAATAAAATTATGTAAAGTTGTAAAAAATATTTGTTATGAACAATTTTTCACGTTATCTGGATTTAGCGCATAATTGAAAAAAATATCGGAATTTACCGGATTCGCGAATACTGTCCAGTTAAATTTGATTCTTTAATCAATATATCAATATATTTCGACCATCTCTGTATAATACAATCAAATTAAGAGAAGGCCACGATCATAATAGGATCTTTGTGCTCCTAATATTTCTATGTAAATTTTACATACTTATTCTAGTTTCAGTGTGTGCCGTTACTTTCAGATTCAACACAGCTCTTTGCTTGAAACAGAACTATATTATCATACGATTAAATTGATAATCAATTTAATAAATACTGATGTTCACTGGCGTCTAATGAAATCCCTCCTACCCCACGATGCGCTATAAAGAATTATTTGCTGCGAAAAATATTACCTTAGCCAGGTTTTGAACCTGAGACTTCCCGACTTTCCGGGGCAGATGTCTTAAAGCAAAGAGCTGTGTTGAATCCAAAAGTAACGGTACACAGTTCGCTGAAACTAGAATATGTATGAAAAATTTACATAGAAATATTAGGAGCACCAAGATCCTGCAGCTATAACCGTGCGTGATCTTCTCTCAATTTGATTGCGTTGATTCTTTAATATGTAGTTCAAATACTAAATATAGAGGAAGTTAATTCTAGAGTTCAACTCTAGAAATATATCTTATAAAACTGTTTCGTCATTTTCAAAATTTTTGTGCGGGGGAAAAGAAAATTTTGATTTCATTATTTATCAATTTTCCTTAAGCTTTTGTTACGTGAAATAGTCGCAGCAAATCTACGCATCGTTTGTATATTTTTAATTTCATCAGTCGCAATAAGCCGAATAATATCTTGCAAAAGGCGGTAAGCCAAAGCACTGTGAGAGTCGAACCAACTTGCGAAATTAATTGCTCGTTCGCAATTTCCCCGGAGAGGTAGCTCTCTTGCTTGCTCTAGTTGTGCATCTTTGCGCTACCGCCCCGCGATGCATTTCCACGAAAGTGGTCTGAGACTTTCGTGATAAAATTGTCAAAGGAGGACGCGAGAAGCTTTCCGGATGGGAGTCAGAAAATCGGGAATTGCAGATGCGGGGAGCGGAAATACAATATCCGGCGCGAGTAAAGCTCACGCGCGCGCACGAGAGAGAAAAAGCTTTATCGCACTTGTTCTGGAAACTTGCCTACCGTGTCTGATGGGACTGAGGGAAGCTATTTCCGGTGAGACCGAAAAATCCGGCGTACATGAGACATACGGATTTCCAGGTGCGCATATATATATATATATATATATATATAGGCAAGCTCTGTGTGCTCTTGCTGCAAATACGCGTCACTCCGTCACCACGTCGTCCGCGAATACATGACACATCCGCCATGTGCGGCACTATCGATGCTGCAAACGACGTAGTAGGAACGATATCTTATTCATCGGATACGACGTTGAAGTGCCCCGTGCTGCAGGAGAATAAATTTAGATCAAGTCCGTCTGGCTTTTATATCTATTTTCGGAAGAAATCGCTTCGCGATTAATTATCTCGTCGCATTAATTACATTCTTGAGATAATTTTGTGTAATAACTTGATTTCTCGTAAATACCTATGTGAATACGGGAGGGGTACGACAAAAGATTTAACTAAGCCCTTTTATTCCTCGGACACATCGGTTGCATCACTAAAAACTTCTCGTTATCTCCGAATCGTTTAAAGGAAAAGACATTTTTACATTCGCGCTAGACTCACTAGAGAATAAGATTTACGATGTAACTTGATTATATCTTGTTTACTAAGATTGGAGAGGTATAACGAAAGGAAAACACGTGGGACGTGATTCTCCGGATGCTCGTAAAAGCAAATATATAGCTTTTGAAATGCGTTCTGTCTACTTGCTTTTATAATACGAATGTAAGAATGTAAGATTGTTTCCATATGGTACTGCATATCTGTGGACCACCCAACGTGTTATTGACGATCAAAGCTGAAAATATACATGCGATATGCTTCATATGTATTAGAGAAGTTTAATATTTACAATGATAAATTTACTTTTCGAAATGCAATTCAATTTCAAGAAATACTTCTACGAACATGTTTGTAGCTAATTTCTACTTATTTATTTTCTCGGAATTTGTGAGAGATATCGCAGGAAATCGTTGCGCGGGATATTTTTTTTATTCTTGCATAAAAATCGAATTTTACCACAGCACATTCGCGAATTATTTCATCCTATAAAAAGATAAAAAGATATATAAAGAAACTTTTCTGGCGCAGTCAAGATTACAGCCTCATATATTTGGCAATATAGAAAATATACGATAGTTTGAGCAGATAGCATGCGAGCTGCGTGTTGTGTATTCCATATGATAATAAAAGCAAATCAAGTTGGAAACATAGTTCATCTACGCGTACGCGTAGCAGAAGAGAAAATTGGATCACAGCGACAAAAAAATTCGTTAAATCTACAACGGTCGTAAAAAAACAGAAAAATATAAATCACGAATTTTTCATTTCTAGTGGAATTTTATTTCTTGCATTCAGTGGTTTTCTCGCGTTTCCCGTAAATTTCTAGTAAATTTTTGTTTCGTTTTGCTTTAAGGAGAAGGAAACTCTGTCATTAACTCATTCACTCTCGAAATCCAATTAAATTTGAGAAGCGCCAAGTGAAAGGTCTGCCAAATGGATAATTAATTAATAATTTCCGCGAGACCGTCTCGCCTGTCAGAGATTCACATGCGAGTGACGCGAGTTGTTTGTGTATCTTATTCTTGTTGTGCGTATCTTGCATATCTTTGTTCTTGTCAATAATAATTAGCTATTTTTCAGAATATTTAAACAATCTCTAATACGCATATCAGGATGTTTATTACAAGTATCGAACAACGTTCGATTATCGAGAAATTGTTCTTATCGCTCCATTTGTCACCTCATTTGTCAACTTTTATTTGTCAATTCATTTTACCTGCTAGTAAATTACTTATCGTCATTCATTTTTGTCGATAAGCGTATATTTTTTTCTCTTCTTTTACTTATATTGACACAAATACACCAAGTTGATTTAATATCTTTCCGATATGAGAACTGCATACACATTGAAAAGATTTTCAACAACTTTAGCATTTAAAGCAGCGGTATATTCTGAGCGACGTAAATTTCTTTTATGGTTCATTTTGGAGACTTGGAACTATATATATATTTTAATTGAAAAGCATAATCCCATTTTCCCCGGCTCCGCAGAGCCGTAAACGGGAACGCTCCGTCCGCGCCCGCCCCCGTCATTCCATTTTCCATCACATTTTTTTCAGCACACACCTTTCGATAAGCACCAGGATTCGACGACATCATCGATTTTTTTCCCCTTTCTCTCCGCCGGCTTGTTACTCCATTATTCGCTTTGTGATCGTACGCGAGTTTTACGCTCGGCGGGGACGGCGCTTTAATTATCTTCGATCGCGCTTTCACCACGAAATGCCATATGTGAAGTCGCTGAAAATTCCATTTGCCGTACGACGGCGATTATTGGCCTTACCTTTTGCTGACAAGTGCACGAGTGTCGCGTATAAATCACCGGAAAGAGCGAAGGACGGTGCACGGAGAGGCGTGTATTTTGATAAGAAAATTAACTCTGGATATAAACCCTTAACGTGACGTTTTATTGTTCAAGCTTAACGTGGCCTGA